GGAAGACAAGGATGCTCGCATTGTAGACTAGGAACATTCTGGAAGGGGAACAACCAGCATACAGCATGGCCATGCTGGAGTATCCCTAGGCAAGCCTTAGATGCCACAGAGGGGCGGGGTCGAGCTCCCAAGTCCCTCTCTTTTCCATTGGTCTGTCATCTTAGCTCCTGTGCTGTGTGTCCCCTCAGCACTGTTCTTCCTCCACACAGCACAAGAGCGAGAGCTGAGAATTATCTTTCATGCGCGTGTGCAACTTCTATTGACTTGTAGGCTCCGTGGGAGGAGACAGTGTGTGCTGTCATGGTCCCCAGTGTGAGGCCGTCCACTGAGGAGGTACTAGTTGTTGCACTGTTGGAGGCAGGTCAGAGGACCGTTAACTGCTGTGCTGCCGTACAGTTCTGGAGGGAGGGATGATGTGGAAGGCTAGAGATGGCACATGAAACATAAAGCCCAACCAACATTATATCCAAATTCAACAGAGATGGTCTTAGCCTCTGAAAAGCAGCCCTATGTCAGTGATTTATAGTTTATTTGAAGCTTCCTTTTCTGATCCTTCTTCTCGATGCCCAGAACTTCCTCCCATCTGCCAGCCTACCTGCTCCCCAGAAGACAACATTTCTCCTACCTAGGGTGGTATGGCAGAGGGGGCACATGGAAGGCTCCTATGTGGAAGAAAGAATACATCCTTCTATCCAGTCCAAAGGGTCTCTCACCTAGTTTCCTCCCTCCACACTAAGGGGCGCTGAGACTGAGAACATGCCTCCTCAAGACAAGGGGATGGTCACTCCAGATTCACCAAGTATTCCCTCCTCAGGAAGATGGGAGGGGCAGCTCAGAGGATAACAGCTATTTCCTAGCCCAAGTCCCCTGAACTGCTTTGCTCTAGGAGACTCGGAGAGACTTCTGGAAATGGGGCAGAGAGAGAAGATGAGAAAATAAAAGGGGGTTGGAGGAATTAGGGTTGAAAATTTAGCCTGGATTACACAATGAGGCTCTGTTGAGAGGAAGATGAACTGGGATGGGGGAGGAGCTCATGAGGCCCAGGGCTGCTCCCCCACCCAGGATCTATCTGTAGTTAATAATTGGGGGGGGGGGAGAAAAGAGACTTTTCACCCCCAGGGTACCTGGTAAGGTACCCATGCTCCTGTAAATAAGTACACAGCTTTTCATCCATGTTTATGTAACATCTCTAGTGAAATTCAATGGGTCATTAGAAGAGGAGGAGGAAGACGTGACAGACAACCAGAAAGTGGAAGGGGGATGAGTCAGAAAGATGAGGTCATCAGTGGGAATGAGACTGAATGAGAGGGTGATGGTGAATGTGACCAAATGTACTGCACGCGTGTATGATGCATCACACACATGTATGAAATGTTGGCATGAAGTCCAGTATTAGACATAATCAATAATTTAATGTTATAAACTTTTTTAAAAAAAGAGATTTGGAACTGGGGAAAAAAGCAAGAAAGTGAAAAAGGGTTCCACTGGGGTAAAATGCCGAGTCCCTCTACTGACAAGCCCACACTGACAAAGTGTCCTATAAACTCATCTTAGCTTTTGTTTAGACAAAGCCATAAAGACAGGTATCTGGGAGCTGGAATGATGGCTAACACTTGCTGCTCTTGCAGAAGACTTGGGTTCGGTTCCCAGTACCTGAATGGTGGCTCACAACCATCTGTAACTCCAGGTTCAGCGGGTCTGATGCACTATTTGAATTCTGCAGGCAACAGGTTTGCACATGGTGCATAAACATAATATGTAAACACAACACCGACACACATAATGTCAAGTAAATAAATAAGCAAATTTAGACTGGAGCCTCTGGCTTCTTCCGCATCTTCCCTCCCCTTCTTATTTCTCTAACTGTCCCTCCTCTTTTTTGGTCGCCCTCTCAACTTTGTGGATATTCACTGTTGAATGCTGAGGTTGTCCAGCACCAACCCCCCTCCCCGCCCAGGGTCTTCTTTATTCTAACCTACTCTAGGCTGAGGAGCAACTGTTGCCCCAACACATTAATGCAATGCTGGGATAGTCCTAGCGGGTGCATTGACCCGATTCCACATTTATCAGACATTAAAATTCAAAACCAGGCGCTGGAAAGGTGGCTCAGCAGTTCAAAGAGCTTACTGCTCTTGCAGAGGATCTGAATTCAGTTTCCAGTACCCACATGTCAGCTCACAGTTACATGTAACTGTATGGTGGGTTGAGTAGGTATGGCCACCATAAACTCATGTGTTTGACTGTTTGGCCCATGGGGAGTGGCACTATGAGGAGGTACGGCCTTGTTGGAGGAAGTGTGCCACTGGGCGGTTTGAGGGCTCAGATGTTTAAGTGTAGGCTCAGTGGCACATAGTTCTTTTGGGGCTGCCTGAAGATCAAAATGTAGAACTCTCAGCTCCTTTTCCAGCACTGTGTCTGCTTGCTTGCCATGATGATAATGGACTAAACCTCTGAAACTGTAAACCAGCCCCAATTAAATGCTTTCTTTTATAAAAGTTGCCATGATCATGGTGTCTCTTCACAGCAACAGAAACCCTAACTAAGTCAGTTCCAGGGGATCCATGACACTAACTTCTGGCATCAGCATACATGATGTACATAAATTCACTCAGGTGCATGCTAGCGTGCACACACACACACACACACACACACACACACACACACAAAAACATCTTTTAAAATACAAAATGAACTTTAGGTCCTCTGCACTTCTGTGCACAAGAGGAAACAGAACATTAATAGACTGTGAGCCAGAAAATCGACACTGCTCTCCTGGTACAAAGACCTCAGGCAGGTCATTAAAACTCTTTAGCTTAGCAGAGAATATTAAGTTTAAGTGCTAGTCAAACAGCAAACTCAATCAATAAAAAGGAAAAAAAAAATAAAAAAAACCCAAGTTCTGTCTGCCTCTAGAATTGTATAGAGGCTAACAAAATCATGTTAGTGTCAAAACCCCCAAGTTTCCTTAAGCCTCCTTATTAGCCACAATTTGAAAAGTTGCATCTACACTAAACATGCTGTCAATCCAAGCCAACAATTAAAGGAAAAGGGCCATGCTCTATTTCCCTCACCACCAACTCCCTGCCCCAAAAGTCAGGCTAGTTTCAAATTCCCAGAGTAACCAGGACTTCTGGCAAATGCTCCTCCACTCCAATCTACTTAAGCTTATTTCATCTTGTTTTCTAACTAGAATTCAAGCTCATTCCCTTATCTTTATTCCCAGTATGAATCAGCAGGAGCCTCCCACAGGTGATAAAATCATAGGCTGAGCGACATCGACGAGTGGTCTTCCGGTAATTTTTTATAGAAGGTAAATTGTCATAATTCCATGAAAGGGTTAGAGAAACGGGAGGAAAGTCTGGATCCTGCTCTTAGGAGCCCCCAGGTTTTAGTTTATTGGATTCCTGAGTCCACTTTGTGGAAGAAACATCTGACCTGAACAATAAAAAGATGAAAACAGAACCACCCAGCCTCAGTTCTGATGGGTGTCTGTAAAGAAAAACCTGCAGGTCTCAGGAAAGTACTACACGGTACATCCTCTCTTTAGAGCCCACACTGCTGTACGTCACTGAGAAAGAAGCTCAAAGGACACAGGCTTGGTGGTACATGCCCAAACCCTGGCACTTAGAAAGGCTGAAGCAGGAGGATCACAGGTTTCAGGTCAGCCTTGGTGGCCGGGTGATAATGTCTTGGGGGTGGTGGTGGGGGGACAACAGGAGGACATGGTGGGTGTGGCAATGCTTGCCTGTAAATCCCAGCACTTGGGAGGCTGAAGTTGGATAACTGGGGTGAGTTCAAGACCATCCTGGGCTCCAAAGTGAGACCTTATTTCATTAAATTAAAAAAACAAAACAAAACCAACCAACCAAACAAACAAAAAACCCAACTTGAGCTGGCAGGAAGTGGAGAGTGTCCCTAGTATTAGACATAAGCTAGAAGGCCCAGGGGAGCTCCCTGATGGCAACCAACCACTGCCATCTTCAGCCTCTGAGGTGACAGGGAGCATGGGAGACAGACAACAGTTGCGGTCGCACATACCTTAGCCATATTGGAGATTATGATTCTTTGAAACTTATGGGCACTCATATTCTGGCAAAATCTCCAGGTACATGTGCTCTGTTTAATTTTTTCAACACCTGTTATCAGTTTTCACATGCAAACACAAACACATGCATTGTACTATTTAATCCCAGTAACTCTATGGGCTAAATATAAACATTATTTCAAACACCTGAATGCAAAGCTTCTGAGCTATTATATATCAGGCCTGTAATCCCGTCTACTTGGAGACAGGCAGGAGAATCATGATCTGAAAACCTGCCTATGCTACAGAGTGAGTTCAAGTCCAGCCTGGGCAATGTAGTGAGAATCTGTCTTAAATAAAAAGTAAAAAAGAGGGCTGTCACTATAGCTTAGTGGTGGTGGTGGTGAGGGCAGGGGGCTTGTGCAAAGGCCTGGGTTTGATCCCTACATGGTGGGGAAAAACGTTTATCAGACAGGATTAAAAAAAATCAGTAACCTCAAGACAGAAAACAGCAATTGACCAAAATACACACTTAGGCCTTGCCATCCCATTTCTAACTGTACAAAAAAGTACTCAGACGGCTGGAACACTACTTCCTGTGGCCCTTTCTCAGTCACTGAACTTTAGGATCAGTGTGAGGAAGAATTCCTTCTTAAATCCTTCTGTAATCAAAGACTGACAGAATGGGGAATTGATTACATACTGATAAGTACATCTAAATCACAGATAAGTACAGACTGATGAAGAAACAGGACAAAAGAACGTTTTGACAAATCATAGTGCATAAACACATCAGGGGAAGAAACTGATCTCCATGGCCTCCCTCCTTCTAATACTTAAGATGACCGTACTCTTCCCAAAAGACGAAAACCAACCCGTTGGGTCTCCAGAAATCTATCTTGCCTAGAAGTTGGAAATAATATTTCAAAATCCTAGTCACTGTCCTCCAATCCCCAGCCCTTGAAATGGCCTTTACCTTCTACAGGGGAGGTTTTCAGTCTGGCGCAGATGTCCTGTACACCTCCATAGTGGGCATTGATCTGGTTGATTGCGTCCACCGAACGCAGCTCCATGAGCTTTCTCAGGTCCTTTAATGTGCAGCCAAACTCCCCTTCATAGTTCTCACCTACCGAGTTCCTCCCCAAGCTATGTCCTGATGGGTTCGTCATTTTGCCTGCGGTTACCAGACTCTCAGAGAAGATGTAGAGTTTCTCTCCAACTGATCAGTGTCTCTTGCCTTCTCTTCCCTGTTTCTTCCCACTTCTTTCTTCGCTGGGAGCCCAGTGAGGGGATAAATTGGCAATATCTTGTGCAGTAAGCTTCAGAGTCGTAACACCAAGCCTAGATCTTCCCTTCTGTATCAAGTCTACTGTGAGAGGAGGAAGAGGTTGGGGAACTTAGTAGAAAAGGGACTTGGCGTCACGCTGATTGTTGTCCTCTAGGTGATGATGAAAATAGTTGTCCAGAGTAGGAAGGTTCCTAGCTTAGACTACTTGTCCATATAGAAGAGTAAACGGGATAAGCATGTTACCATGGAGGCAACCCTAGCAACAACCAGCAACTGCGATGGTAGAGCAGTGTCGTCAGGAGAAAGAGGAGGGCTCCCTGGATAACGATGGCAGCTAGGTCTCTGGAATAGAGATGCAAAAAAGGACAAAAAGAAACAATTAGAACAGCCATGAGGATCCAGGATCTGCAAGGTTTTTCCCAGCACAAGGGTTTAAATGACAGTTGGTGTCTGAACGGAACTGATAGCTGAGGCCTAAGCTGAGTGGCCAGACCCATGGGAGGCCCTGGGTGGGCCTGTTGACTGGTAATGTAGAGAATTTATCTCAGAAACATCGTCTTTAAGTCTCACTTCTACCAAACAAAGGCACACAAATTAATTTAAGAAACTTACATATAAAAGGTTACAACCTTTAATGCCTCCCCATAGCCTCTCAGGAAATGTTGATTACAGGATACTTTAGTCTGGCTTTTCCTGTAAGGTGAGAGAAGAATCAGAAAAGAAATCTAGACCCAAGGATCTGGAGGATGGCTTGCCTGTGCACCAACCACTCCTATGAGCCATACTCTTCCCTATTCCCAACACAGACAATTACAAACCAGGAAGACAGGCCGATAAAGGGTCCCTTAAAACACTCAGCCTTCAGTGGTATGAAAATTTGGCAACCTAGGGCAATTATCTGGCATCAAACTTTGGTCGTAGGGCTAAGCCCTCCCAGCGGCTTTTCCTGGTGAGGAAAGAGTAAAATGCTCTGGCGTTTATGATACAGGGTGGAATCATTTTTTTTCCCTATAAAGGGCAGATAGACCTCTGAGGAAGAAAGATAGCAAGCCTGAAACCTGTGAGTGTTCAAATTTCTCCAAGGTAGGAGAGAGAAATTCAGCCGGTGCCCAGGCCCCAACAGTCATCAGCTTGAGGAAGCACCAGAGGGTCTCACGTTAGTACAGTGACATCTCAGAGAGAAGCGGCATTTCTCCCTCAGAGAGACAAGGGCTACCTGGAGCACAGACTGGCTGAGTGTGTGACACAGCTAAATGTAAGTAAGGACAATCAGAGCTGAAGGTGGCACAGAGACTGAGCTGAGCCCCGTGCTCGGCTGCAGACAAGGTCTGATACATGTCACACATCAGCGGCTCCAATGTGAGGGCTCTCACTAAATGTAGCACCCAAACAGGTAAGGCCTATGGTAAATACCCACCCCGCAATTGGGCTATGCTGCCAGAGGCTGGCAAGGCACTCCAATTGGCTGGGTAATAAACAGATGCCATCCTGGCTTCCAAAATGTGAACAAAATCAAGAATCAACAGATAAGGCCTTTTTTTTTTTTTTATCAGATAGTTTCTCCAGAAACTGATCTGATCAAAGCCCCTGCAGATTCCACCCAATCCTGTTCCAGGCAGGTTCCTCTGGGAAGCAGGGTGTCGCACCCCTCCCTCGGCTAGCATACCTCATCAACATCCTTGTACTCTGACTTACAGTAAGTTAAGCAAGCAAGGAATCCTGAGAGACACGTGTGAAAAGGGCCTGAGGCTGTGGGCCTAACTCCCTCGTTCAGTCTGGCATAGGAGCAGGAGCAACTCTAGCTGTCCCTACCTACTCAAATCCTTTGGGGAGGAGAACTGAGGACAGCGCAAGAAGGGAGCACACATTCACATGGCTATGCTGTCATAATTGCCCAATTTCGTTATTACTTTTAATTTCTTACTTATCTAATTTACTATCTATTGTGTGTGTGTGCATGCATGTGTGTGTGTGCACATGCGCACACATGCACGCACACGTATATGCACATGTTTGTGTGTATACATATTCTTAGAGGTAAACTTTGGGCCAGGGTGTCTCGTTGACCTAGAGCTCCCCAGTTAATAGACTAGGCTGGCTAGCCAGTGACCTCCAGAGATCCTTTTGTCTTTGCTTCCCAGAGCTGGGATTACAAGCACATGCCACCACCCTGACTTTTTATGTGAGTGATGGGGCTTGAACTCAAGTCTCCATGCTTGCATGGCAAGCACTTTACCAACTGGGCTATCACCTCAGCTTTTGTGCCTGTAAAGCAAGGCCTTGCCTCTAAAATTAAATGTTATAATAAGTATTTTCTTTTAGGGAAAACATCTCTTATGCATGTATGCATAGGGTTCTGTTCTACTGAACAGTGGGTATCTTGGGATGCATCTTCCCTCACCAGCTGTCACAGGACTCTCCTCAGTTTAGTTCTCCTAGCCTGTAAGGCATGAGAGGGACTAGAGCAGCAAGAGACCCATCCTGACCCTTAGGTAGAGACCCTTGATCTTGCAGAGGATGCCCAAGACAATGCTGATGAGCATGGAGTTGGGAATTAGAGTTTACATTTCTTCCCCACCACCCCCGCTTTCTCATTTGAGACAGGGTTCCTCTGTGTAGCCCTGGCTGTTCTGGAACTCGCCCTGTAGACCAGGGTGACCTCCAACTCTGAGATCTGCCAGCTTCTACCTCCCAATTGCTGGGATTAAAGATATGTACCACCATCATCCAGCAGATTTTTACTTTTTTAATTCAGTTTTTTTATTTTATGCATATGGATATTTTGACTGCATGCATATTTGAACACCACTTGCAAGCTAGAAGGAACCAAAGGAGGCGAGGCCAGAAGATGTCAGATGCCTGGAACTTGAGTTTTGTATGGTTGTGAGCTGCCATGTGGGTGCTGGGAACAGAACAGAACCTGAGTCCTCTAGAAGAGCAGCCAATGCTCTTAGCTGCCGAGTCATCTCTCCAGCTTATACTTTTTCCTTTCTTTTCTTTCCTTTTATTTATTTTTTATTTTTTTTAAAAGTCAGGCTTGCATTGGAGCCCAGGCTGGCCTGGAGCTCACGATATAGTCCAGTCTAGTTGTAAATTCACGATTCTCTAGCTGCTGCCTCTCAAGGGCTGGGATTACAGGTGTGAGCCACTACTCTTGACAGAAGCTTTTTATTTTTTCTGTCCTTGTCCACTACAGTGCTTACTCTGTGAAGCCAGGGATTCATTACTTCGAATCTCTCCTCAGGTTCAAGAAGGAGAAAGTCTTCCTCTCACAGCGACAGCCCACGGAAGAGGGTACAGACGATTAGAAGGCAGAACGCCACCGAACTGCTCCAGGAGGGGCAGAGATGTATACAGGGCAGGTCAGCTATCCAACCGTGGGCACAGAGTCCAAGGAGCAGTGTGTGATGGAGACCTCAAGTTTCAGTGGGATCTACTAAAGTCCCGGTGCACCGTGCAGACACATGAGGTCTCTAGGCTGTGAGCTCTTAGTAACTGCTGAGCTTGCTCCTACCTTTGTTAGGCAAGTACTGAAGAATCCGAGCCTTACAGTCTTCCAGCCACGGAGGCACAACCTCCGTCAGGTCAGGATTAGTCAGTCCCTCGGAGGGAAGCGTTCTGGGCTAGGTAATGTTTTCCGACCTAAGGGATGATAGGCTAGAAGGCTGAAGTCCCATCCTTTCTTCCGGGGACCAGAAATCAGATTGCTTCACATGATCACCCAGTCCTGCTTCCGGGTGCACCTGAGAGGCATGCCACCCCACACTTCCTGATAAGCCGGGTCTAATGAGACCCATTAGCAAGTACCCCAAACAAGGAGAAAACCCTACGACCCAAGTCATAACAGCTTGACAGCCTTTCCTCCAGTTCTGTCCACGGATCCCCTTACTCCACGAGCCTCTCCTGAGGTACTGAAGAAAGCATTTGTCCCCAGACCATCAGGGAAAGTTGAAACTGCCTGTGCAGGTGACAGAGGAGTCACTTTTGATGGCAGGAACCTATCCCCTGATCATCCCACGCCTCTGAAACCAGCTCCAGCACAGGCAACAAAGCAGGCTTAGAAATGGGCTTGGGGTCAGGCTTCAGTCATGCGCAGCCCTGCGGACAGGCCTGCCTGTGGGAAGTGAAGACATGGGTCATTCTATGGAGGCTGCTCAGGACAGCAGACTTTTGTGTCCTACCCTGTTCTATACTTTTGCCTTAGGGTAGGTTGATAGCACTTGGGGACACTTCAGGAATCACTATCAAGCATGGTGTGAGGGTACGGAGGAGAGCTCCCGGGATAGCTGAGAAGGCTCGCCTTGTGGATAGGATACACCAGGCTGAAGTCTGGAAGCTGCTTCTCAGGCCCCCAGTGGTACCTGCCATCTTCTTCGCTTAGCTCCCTCATCCCAAATAATGGTCCACTTTTCTCACACTCAGGAGAAGAGCAGGGGTGAAGAGAGGTGGGGAGGGAGGAAAATACTGAGCACAAGCAATGTGTTCGGCACTATACTTGAGACTTCCAGTGGAAATGAGAATGATACTCAGTATATATAATATGAATGCAAATAGTATCTAGTACCTAGCACAGTGGCCGAAAGGACTGGCCGCTGTGTGCCCAGTAGTTATTGTTATTACGTGCTCCGTGTCACCAGGGCTCAACAGCCTTATTTACAGAACACAAGTTCAGAGAGTCAGGGTTGAGCTCTAACCTGAATCCAATGCCACCCTACCTCAAAAACAAGACCAAAGCTATAGGAAAATGAAAATAAAGCTAAAGATTTACTCTCTAAACTTCAAAGGGCCACAGAAACCCATTGGTCCCTTGCTCATGCCCCATAAAGGCTTTGAAACAGGTGAAACAGCTTTTGAGTTTTCTAAGCAGTGGTAGACCCAAAGCTCCCCATGGGAAGCCATCACCCAGACCTTCCTCTCATCCATTCCACATCACCACGCTGATACCATCCCACCACTCCAAAGCAGAGGGAGCCGGGCTCTGGACCGTCACGGCTCTAGGAACATGCAGACCCCACCTGAGAAGAGCCCAGGAGTGTGGCTCTACTCCCGCTCCGCATCTCCTGGCCTTTCAACCCCCAGTGACCTGCACTGAGAGGCCCTGCTCAGGTCTGCTCCTCTCTGGCATTCCAACACTTTCCGAAGAACTATTTCCCATTAAGAAAGCTATCAGGTAGGCTGGGGTATGTTAGCGTGCTTGCCTAGCATGTAGGAGGCCCTGAGTTCCAGCCGCAGAACCACATAAACCAGAGCCAGAGTGACAGCGAACACCTGCAGTCCTAATGCTCGGTAGAGGCGGGAGATCAGGAGTTCAAGTCCAGCTTATATACTGAGTTTGAAGTCAG